AGGCTTATTAGGGTTTCGCGGTGGTCTGCTCCGAGAACCGTCTCGCGCGCCTCAAGTGCACATCGGTACATGGTCTCGGATTCGCCGTACTTTTCTTGGTATCGCAGTACAATAGCTAGGTTGTGGAGGCTTGTTAGGGTTGCTGGATGGTCTGTTCCGAGTACCTTCGTACGCTCATCAACTGCCCGCCTATGCATGGTCTCCGATTCATCATACTTCGCTTGGAATCGAAGCACAATAGACAGGTTGTGGATGCTTGTTAAGGTGTCTGGGTGATGTGGTCCGAGAACATTCTCGCGCCCATCAAGTGCAAGTCGATGCATCTCCTCGGATTCAGCATACTTTCCCTGGTATTGCAGTGCCAAAGCTAGTTTCATGGCACTTGCTAGGGTTTTTTTGTTCCTGGGTCCAAGAACCTTCTCACGCACCTCATATGCACGCCGATTCATCATCTCTGAGTCGTGGTATTTTCCAAGATCACTCATCACACTGGCCAGGGAGGATAAGCATTCCAAGGTGTCCAAATTGTTTGGACCCAATGACCTCTCCAGATCGGTTAGCACATTCCGGAGTGTCTTCTCTGCCTCCTTTGCCCGCCCTTGCCGTGCGCTCACCCGCCCCAAGAGCATAAGTCTGCTATGACCCTCATTCCAGCCATGCTCCGTATTCTTCTCGCGAACTCTAATACATCCATGGATCTGTGCTTCGGCGTCGCTGTAGTAACCCAAATGTAGAAAGTACTCTGCCATGCGAAAGCAAAGATGCTCAGCAGTAATATCAATTCTACCTTTGGTTGCCGCAAGTGCATGCGGAATGTATGCCTTACCAATCTCCCGTGGCACATGCCCAGAGCCAGCGAACGTTCGCGAGATCGCTCCGAGTGCGGCCTCATTAAATTTATTCCGTTCTTCCAGTGATAGATAGGCATGTATCGATAACTGGATTATGCGGTGAATCTCATAGAAGTTCTCCTTTTCGCACCGGGCTGCGGTAACCAAAGAGAATCCCAAAAGTTTCGCCATCGCTCGACGGAATTCAAGCTGGTCACTGATTCCTTCAACTCCAGATCCAATAAGGAGCTGCTCAGGTATATTTTGATAATCAAAAAATGCGATTAGGCGCAGAAGATCGCCCGCTGTCGGCATCTGTTTCGCAATCCGGTCAAAGGTGATAAAGTAAGCGCCTAAAACACTTCCTGTCGCAGAAAGCTGGCCCTTGATATCGCTAGGTTGCTGTAAAAGCACCTCTTTCATCGACTTCTGTTTCTCCAACAAAATGGTCAAGTACTCGGAGGGTGGTGTTTCGGTCTCAACCATGAAAGCTGCGGAAGCTACGACAGCCAGCGGCGAGTGATCCACCGACACTAGGATCTTCGGAACTACCTCTCGTTCCCCACAACTCAAACTTCCCCAGCGACAAAAGTGTTTCGAAAATAACCCTAGTGCTTCCTCCTCCTCTATCATTCCGACATCAATCCTCTCGCACTCCTGGTGTAATGCCACCTGGCGAGATCTCGTAGTGAATATTAGAGTACCCCCGGAGCCTTGCGGAACAAACTTAGCAATAGGACTGTTGTTGCTAGCAAAGTCCTCCTCGTCGTCGGCATTGTCAATGACTAGAATCCAATTGCCACTATCTGGGCCCTCGAGCCACCTCTTTATACTCAATAGGAGTCCCTCTTCGTTTATCTTGGTACTGGCAAGAGGAATTCCGACATGTTGGGCAATGGCCCTGAAGCCTTCCCTAAATTTTAACGCACCGTTTCCCTGCACCCAGAAAATATCACAGTCGCTCTCACTTGCGCGCTGATAAACATATTCGAGGGCAATCTGAGTTTTTCTGAGCAATGTTAATAAACCCGTCCGACACCGAATTAAATTAATACATACCCGCAACCGCTTGATCCATGAAGAGCGATCCGGTTGTGGCCCTTAGACTTGGATAGCCTCTTTACTGAGTCAATGAGATTCGCACCGCCAGTGAACTTCGTGTTCCTGATATAAGGAATCACCCTATAAGGTCTAGACGAGTCTTGCAGTTGCAGCACCCCATTAGCTCTTTGCCGGGAAGCTCTTGGAAAAGCTGGATATACCTCGGCTGCTGGGTTCGAACACACATCCTGGGGGTGTTACGAGGTTGCCTGTATTTTCCGGGTAGTCTGGATTTATGCTTTCATCTGCTTTACCACCGGAGACATTATAGTCCCCCGAATTCCCACTGGATTCTTCCCTGGCGTCGCCTTGCAATTTTCTGGGAATAGAAGTTGATGAGTACTTTTTCATTCTTTTTCTTTCGCAACGACACAGACACTAAAGGGAGGGTGAACCCACTGATCCATCGTGTTTCAGGCCCAATGCGGGACCGCTACCGGAGGTCGGGTATGAAGGTGATGAAACGTCGCCAGCCCAACTGAATCGGGAAGTATGCCCTATTTCCGCTTATCGGAATAGTTAAAAATTGTTATGCAAGGCCCCGCAAGAGGTGGCTGATAAGATTTTTCTTTCGGTTGACTATCTCAATAGGCCGTAATGTTGAATATAGCAATAACAGTAGCTTTAAATTTTCATCTCAAGCTTCCTTTCAAGATCCCCGAAACCAAACAAATCTCCGTATTTATAAGTAAAAATTCGAAGCTAGCCTAAAATAAAGAAAATCTTCTTTCCGTCTCAAGATGGCACATTAGGAAAGTAAAGAAGCCTAATTTGAGGAGTATGAGGGCCTTTTGACCATGTGGAATGTTGAAATTCGTATTGTAGAAATCAGATGTCCTCACCTGCCTGAGTTGAGGAAAGGCAGAGCGAACGTGAGGTAAACACTACGGTATTCTACACCATCACGGGGTACAGCGCCTGAGTTTTGTATGTACCACAAGCGAGGTTTGCTGACCTTGTCCCCTGCAGAGCCTACCAAAATTAGGAGCTGTACCTCCGTAGCTGGCTCTCTTAGGGTTGTACAATGTAATTTGAAGAGCCGGGCATCACAATTTGGCTAGCTACCCGTAATCGATGTATGCGCCGCTATTGCATGCGATGACGATAGCCACCTCGTCATCACGAGAACTCTCTTGCATCATCGATTGGCCGCACTGGGGAACACTACTCGCATACTCGATTACGTTGAGGCTTCATAGAATGTAGCTTCTCACCGATCACATGATGGGGATACACGAATAGAGTTTTGAGGCCCATTCTCGGGATAAGCCTCCATCTATCAAGCGCTTCGTTTCCCTATAACTTAGTGCCCGTTTTTCAACTTGCATCGTCACATGGTCTTGGCCAAGAGTTGATTAAGGGACTGCAAGGACAATTGATGCGTAAACCCCCCTGGGGTGGCAGAACACGAGTACTCCTTTACCTGACCAATAATAATTGCATTATATTTGTGAATACAATGCGACCAAGCCATAATCTGGGAGAGAATATGTGGCGAAGAGGGATTTGAGAGGAGATTCAGCTCCGAAGGGCGCGAGCTGCACTAAATGCATCTCGTAGGTAACCAGAGGAATGGTAAGCGAGGCGCATGCAGTCGCAACCCGAACGCTACTATGACTCCTCGCCTTCTGTT